CTGAGGATGCCTTCTGCTGGCATCCTCTTCCCAGGATCACATGGCAGCTCCATAGAGAAGAGAGCAGGAGGAAGAGGAAGAGCAAGAGCACGATTTCCTGCTTATAATCTGAGTCTGCCTGCTATGTCACTTCCTGCCTGGATCTCTACTACATTTCCCAGAATCCTCCTTGTCTCCTAGTCCAACATATCTTGCTTTCCTATTGGCCAACAGTACTTTATTTATCAATCAATAAGACAAACATATATACAGAAGGATCATCTCCTCATTTTTGTCTAAATAAAATGAAGGGTTTTCATTACCATTTATAACCAACCCCATTTAAATGAAAACAAGCAGGGGGAAAGAGACAGAGAGAGGGATTTGAGGGGAGCAGGGCCATTTTCAAAGGGAACATAGTGAATATGCACAAATGGTGCTCTTAGTGGCTGCAGCTGAGGGTGTATCCTCTCAGAAGCCCAAGGACAGGCCAGTACAGATCCCTGAATCCTATCACCCTTTCCCCTCCCCTTACTCATTTGCATAACTTCTAATATCAGATCTTAACTTTCTTTTTTCTTTCTTTTCTTTGTTAGTTTTCACATATTCAAACACATACTTGTTGTGTGTCTCTATGTGTTTGCTTTACTTTGCTTAACAACATGTCCTTCAATACTGCCTGTTTTCCTACAGATGGTGCCAGTTCACTTTTCCTTGCGGCTGATTATTACTCTGTTGTTTCAGGTATGATATTTTCTTCATTCATCAGTTGACAGGTGCTACCCAGGCTTGGTCTGCATCTTGGCAATAGTGAATGGTGCTGTCATAAACACCCATATGCAGGTGTCTCTCTTATACGATGACCTCAATTCCCCTGGATAAAAACCTATACCTGGTATTAGCTGGATCATTGGTCTTTTCTTTTCTTTTCTTTTCTTTTCCTTTTCTTTCCTTTCCTTCCCTTCCCTTTTCTTTTCTTTCCTTTCCTTCTCTTCTCTTCTCTTCTCTTCTCTTCTCTTCTCTTCTCTTCTATTTCAGAAAATCCACACTGCTATTCTTGGTGGCTATATCAACACACATTTCTACCAAAAATGTATAATAGTAAAATTGCATTGACGCTTCTCTGTATATTTCAGAAAATCCACACTGCTATTCTTGGTGGCTATATCAACACACATTTCTACCAAAAATGTATAATAGTAAAATTGCATTGAGTGGATTTCTGATTCTCCGTGACTGCATTTTCAGTGATACTAAATTTGAACAGAATGAGGAAGTGCTTCCTATGTCAGAAATAGCTTTAGACAAAGTATTTGTGAGGGGAGGAGCCTGTTGAAAGAACTGTGAAGTTGGAGTCTGTGTTGTGAGGGAGAGAAAAGGCCACCTGCGTTCTCCTCAAGCTTCAGTCTAGGAGGAATGGACAAGATCCTGAAAGCATCATTTGTAGTCCTAGCCCTTCACCCAGCCTATGAGTCATGGAGGAGAAACCCCAGGACGGGGTTTAATGTGGAGGCATGGGGAACTGGGGCACCAGACAAAATCATGAATGCTGAAACCATGAAGAGAATGTACAGACCTGGGAAGCTAGTGACATTTGTTATTTCTCTACACAGGGGTGAGTGGCCAGCAGAAGAAGAGATGTGACCAGCAGCAAGTGAGACAAAGTCCCCAATCTCTGACAGCTTTCATTTGCAGGAGCAGGTGACTGGTGACACAGTGATGTAAGGATTAGACTCATTCAGCCACAGACAGACCAAGGTGAAATCACTACCTGCTTTTCCCCAGTCTCCCTTGGCTCCTCAGGCACTGCTGGAGTTTTACATCTATTTCCTTAACTAGTTTAGTTGAATCGTTTACTGAGCAGTGTATAAATAGTTCTCTGTGTTGTCGGTTTGTACCAACTGTAAATTATATAAGGCCCCCATCCCCCTACACTCTTGGCAACAATGTTGTTAATGTGTTGTTATTACAGCCCAATGTGTCAGTCACTTTGACTTTGGCTTCTGTGATAGAAATCACACAGACTTGAGTTTTATCTTAATATCCTCTGATGACCAGAAAAGTGGTGATTTACATGACCACCAATCTCTTCTACTTCCTCTGGTTTTGCCACGTAAGTCCCCATCTACATTCAAGAATTCATGTATGTAAACCAGGAGGCACTCACAAGGATGGAAATGTGTTTACAATATGCATAAGACTTCAGGGGGGAAAGAAGAATTCATTTTACTTATATAGTGGAAAGTCATAACTTTCACTAAGGAAATAATGTCACACTTGTATTTCAGAGATGATTTCACAAGTGTATTTAGGAGATGAAAAATATAATTTTGACTGTATTTTTTATTTCATAGAAGCAGCTGCAGTACACAGAATAGAAATAGGACCACTTATGACCAAACAATTGCAAGGTTTATACACTTAATGCTACAAGTGTAATCATGTATTGTAAATTAAATGTGTATGTTTAACACAGGAGGCATGAAACACATCCAAGAACAATCCAGGGAACAAAATGTACTTCAGTTAAAAAGCCCTTTGCATTTTTTTCCTGGGAGACTCTCTCATGGTTTCTATTGTTCACCATGTATATTATTTTCACTGTCTTTCAACAATAATGGACCAACCTCTTAAACTGTACTCAAGTCCCAAATTAAATGCTTTTGTTTATAAGAGTTTGCTATGCTGTGGTATATCTTCACAGCAATAGAACAGTGACAAGATATACCCCCTCAATATCCCTAATCCCTGTTTTCTTGAATGACAGAATTCTTTTGTGTGATTCCTTAAATATTAAGCTTTTAAAAAAGATTTCACATTTATTCACCTTTGTGTATGTGCAAGCCCATGTGAGTATACACAAACGTGTGTATACATGGCTACATACACCTGTGTTCATGTGAAGGCAGAAGATGGTGTCCAATCACTCAAAGCTGGAGTTGCAGGTTTTACAGGGCACACAGTGTATTAAATGGGGCCTGAACTTCCATCTTTATGATTAACAGTAAGTGTCTTTCACTGTTGAGCCACTGTTTACCAACATTAACCTATATCTTCACTAGAAAGAACTGTTTGTCAATTTACATCTCAAGGAAAGACAAGGCAGCATTTTTCCCATTTTTTATTTAAATTAGAAACAAGATTGTTTTTACATTTCAATCCCTGTTCCTTCTCCCTCCCCTCCTCCCCTGCCTCCCATTAACACCCTACCTATCCCATCCCCTTTCTGCTCTCCAGGGAGGGTGAGGCCTTCCATGGGGGATCTTGAGAGTCTGTCACATCATTTAGAGCAGGGCCTAGGCCCTCCCCTGTGTTTCTAGGCTGAAAGAGTATCCTTCTATGTGGAATGGACTCCCAAAGTCCATTCCTATGCTAGGGATGAGTACTGATCTACTACCAGGGGCCCCATAGATTTCTGAGGACTCCTCACTGACACCCATGTTCATGGAGTCTGGAGCAGTCCCATGATGGTTTCCTAGCTATCAGTCTGGGGAATCATGAGCTCCCCGTTGGTCAGGTCAGTTTTTCTCTGTGGGTTTCACCAGCCTGGTCTTGACCCATTTGCTCATCACTCTGCAACTGGATTCCAGTTCAGTTCAGTATTTAGCTGTGGGTGTCTGCTTCTACTTCCATCATCTGCTGGATGAAAGCTCTAGGATGGCATATAAGTCAGTCATCAATCTCATTATCAGGGGAGGGCATTTAAGGTAGCCTCTCAACTGTTGTTTAGATTGTTAGTTGGGGTCATCCTTATGAATCTCTGGACATTTCCTTAGTGCCAGATTTCTCTTTAAATATATAATAGCTCCCTCTCTGATATCTCTTTTCTTGTTCTCCTCTACTTTTCTCCTGACTCAACCTTCCTGCTCCCTCATGTCTTCCTCTCCCCTCCTCTTCTCACTTTCTCTTTCTCCTAACTCCCTCT